ATTTTGCAAAAACATACCTGATCACCAGAAACTAACTCAGATGGATTTAAAGGCTTTTCAGAATCAATAATGTTAAGATCTTCAACCATATACCATTGGTTGACAAGACCTTGGCTACCTTAAATGTGCCATGTCCCCACGAAGATTTTCATTCTCAATCGATAAAACAAACTGAAATATTTTACCAATTAAGTTATAGAGCGTCAGGAAGTTCATCAAAATCTTCAATCTAACAATAATTATGAAAACAGCACAAATTAGATGATTTCAAAATATATGAGTACATAATAAAATACTAGGTGGTTGCCCGCACATATGTGCGGTATAATGTTTTTTATATACATAGTTAATTATAATATTTAAATATTAATTAATTTTTTTAAACATTGGTATGTTTGTATATATATTTTTTTTTAATATTTCAGAAACTTCTTTCTGAAACCAATGTATTTTAAAAACTTTATTTTTATCATTCTTGTAATAATATATAATCACAAATATAAAAGTTATGTTAAATAATAATTAATTTTGTTTAATATTTTTTGAATATTTCTATAATATGCTTTATTTCTTCTTACCTACAATATGCTTTTTTGCGTCTTACATAATATGAATTTACAAATACATATATAATATATTTTAAGTATATTTTTTTTATTTATTACAAATTAAACTGAAATAGTTTTTACCATTTTTACTTATTCTTAAGAGCGGATAGATGGTTGGCACGCATGTGCGGACATACCAACTTCTTCACTACACTTAGAATAGATAAATATTTTTAAAAAATATAAATTGTATAATAATTCAAATAAAAATTAGCCTGTAATCAATCTTAACAAAATACATGCACGAAAAAATTCACATGTGACTTCAACTAACGTACAATTAATATTTATGTATGTACGCGTATTTGTAAAAAAATGAAATATGGCTCTTAGGTATTAAAAAGTTATTAAGTGACTTTGTAAAACAAAGTTCGGGAGATTTCTTTTTATATAATTCTATTTTTATTTCTTATTCATTTTCTTTCATCTTATTATAATTTATTATTTCGTTCGGTTATTTTTCATTTTATTTATGTTTTCAAAATTTTGATATACAATGAAAATAAATTTATATATATATATATATATAATTTATTTCTATTTAAAATATGATAAGAGATAAGAAGAGATGGTAACATAAGTTATGTACATTTTAGAAAACAACAATAAAAAGATGATAAAAGTTATAGAAAAATATATGGTCCTATTAATATTATAAAATAATAATTAGTATATACTTTATTCATTTAGTAAATATTGGTTTGAAAAGAAAAATTATTTTACGTTTTTTAAAAAAAAAGTTCAATAAAAATTGATTATTTTTTATTATTTTTAACATTTTGTTCTTTAAATTATTTTTATCATGATTCTATTTTATTTAAAATTATATTATATAATAATTTGTTTATTTAAACTTGTTTAGATGTTATTAATATATTTTGTAAATTAATAACTTTCCGAAATAAAAATATATCATACTATAAGTACTATTAATAAATAGAATTTTTATTATTCTATTCGATAATTTAGTATTATTTTTTTTTATTTTATGAGAAATTATAATATATTTATATATATTATTGAAAAAAAATTCGTTATCATATTTTATGAAATTATGAATATATGTAAAAAATTGAAATTATAATAACTTTTATTTTCTATTAATTTAAATTTGTTAATTTTAGTGTTATAAATAAAAATCTAGTTTATTTATGTTTTAATTCTATAATTTCTATAATTTTAATTCAACCAATCAAAATATTTCATTTATTTTAGGAAGTTTGATATGTCACATTTACATGTCATCAATTAAAAGCACTAACTTTGGCTGTAGTGTTTACAAATCAGCTTTTTTCACTATTGTTACTTCTCAAATAATAAGGAGGATTGGCAAATCCCTACAATATAGCGATTGGAAACCTCATCAACAGATCCATTTAGAAATTCGCTTGCCAAATTTTTAACAATCTCTGCAGCAGTAGTGTCGAGCAACATAATTTTTGTCTCACTTGGCTGATCCATAACTTTAAAATGGAGCTTGAACCTTAGATAGAAAAATGGTAAACGTGATTAGATCAATTTCATTAACACAGAAATCAAATATAGAAATATATAAAGAGATTGAGTGTATGAATATATACTTTGCAACAACATTAGTGATTTCATTTTTGCATTGGTCACACGTCTACCTTTGTTTGTATCCAACTTTATCAACTTCGTTAGGTTGTCCTTTGATCTTTCTAACTTTTTTTGTTTAACTTTTTAGGACACCTGAAATAGTACCATCCACAACCAGTGTCCACATCGAAAACAGTACAAATGATCCTTGCCTTGCTAGTCTTTGTAGAACAACTTGACTATATGAGTTGATTTAAAATATAATGAAAGCAATTGTGTGAAAACACTATATATTTATTTTTGTTACCTTAGTACATTTGTTCCAACTCAGAAATGAAAACATTGGGAACGTATCCTAATTTTCATTAGCCCTCGAGACGACATCTATTTTTGGTGGACTTTTGGAAAGAGTAAGAGAGAGACCATCATCGGAAAGACTAAAATAAACAAAACGTTTATAATTAATAGGAGTTATTTTAAAATATTTATAATGTTAAAAAAATTTTATGAATTCATAAAAAGATCAACAAAAGGGTCGATTGGATTTATGACTAACAAAGTGATGACATATTCAAGAGATATTATCTTCCTCCTGTACTTGAGGTAGTTCTTGAAATCAAATCAATATGTCGTCAACTCAGAGGTAACTTTTCGATGAGGCTGTTCACTATGAATATCTCACAGATTGACATTCTATCAGTCATTATGTTATGGAAAATCAATTGGAGTGATTCCACTTGTTCCATGATTGGTTTGAAATCCACCATTTTGAAATCAAGAAACTTTGAAGTTGCATATTTCTGACAATAACGCCTTCTGACCTGTACTTCTTCTTTAGCGCCTTCCACAAGGACTTGAAGGACTTTTCCTTACTATACACAAGGTATAACTGCTCACTGAGGCGGCCTAAGATCAAACCTCTGCACAGGAAATCCACATGCGTCTAGGCTCCAACACTTGCAAGAATGTAGGAATCAGTGTTTCCTACTAGAAGGATCGGTGGATCCTTATTGAAAAACTTATTTAACTTCATGTTCGTCAAGAAGAAGTGCATCTTCAACTGCCATGTTTTGAAACCTTTCCTTCAAAGTGATCCGACATGAGTCCTTGATTTGCGGAAGCATGGATTGATGGAATGACAGGGTGGGAGGAACCAGCTGCAATAGTCGTAGGTTGACCATCGCCAAACAAGATCTGGCGTGTCGTCTCATCGACATCATCTGCACCCACTGTTCCAAACGCATTCACTTGTGGTGGAATGTCCACTCTTGGTTGTTGATTGATCACATTGGAGATATTGGTATCCATTTTTGATCACAATTAAACAAATGATAATCAGTATAATCAGTGTACCAACGATTTGAACAAGAGTTCAAGTAATGATTTAAAGATAAATCAATATATCGTTTTTAGCAAATCTTATATAGATCACTTGTTTAGTAAACTGGCTTTTAAAATGTTCACTGAAAGCGTTTGAATAAGTTAAAGCCTTTCCAAACTTGCTTTTAAAGTGTTGGCAGAAATCTTAAACCTTTTTAGAATTAATTGTTTTGAATAAAACATTTTGCGGAATCGCTAAGATAAGCGTTCGCAAAACCGAAGAGAATCGTTTCGAAAATGATTCACGGAGACGCTATAGGGGTGAATCACAAATCTGTTTATCGTCTTTAGAACCAAAAACTTTTGAAGAAATCATTGAAGAGGTATGTAAAGAAAAGGTTTTTGTAATATAATAACTACAAAAAAAAAACTTAATTTGATTGTAACGATAAGCTAGAAGCGGATTTTTTGAGTTAAGATTGTAGGAACCGTATAAACTAAAATAAGACTTACGATATATAAATCCGATTACAGACGATAATAATGTAGGGAAACAATAGAAATAAAGATCGGAGTCTTGAATTTGATTCACTTTCCTTAACATAAGATATCGCCTGTAGTGTGACGGTATTGTACGATTTAGAGTTCTATGATACAACCGATGCGAGACCGTTTTGCAACATTCGATGATGGAATCTACAAACATAGAAAATTCTACTTAATCTTTCGAGACTTACTTTGAACAGAAGGATTGCTAGAAAAGAAAACTTTGAGTGAAAATGTTTCTTTGTGAAAAAAGTGTGTTTTTAGAATGAAAATGCATACTTTCTTTTATAACCAAAAGGACCCGTTAAAAATCTTCTCAAGTAATGGCAAGAACTTAAGGAACACAAAAAAAAAATTGTGGGCAAAAAATATGCACAACATTAATTAAATCATATTGTTTGAATTTAAATTCCATTAAATATATTGACTGATTCTTTTTCTCGTCAAACTCTTAACAATTTAATTTAAGGACTAAGTCCAAAATAATTATCAAAATAATTTTTATCCTGCTTTAACAAAAATTGATATTTTGATAAATAAATTTGTTTCGAATATGTTATCAATATATTTTTGTATAAAGAAAAAATTCAAAAAAGATAATCTAAAAAAATTTGTTGAACTTACTCAATCAAAATTTTTTTCTTTTTTATTTTAGGAACAACCATCTTGCGATCCTGAAATTAAAGTGTTTGATAAAATAATGTTAATCCCAGAACTTCGAAAGACTTAACTACAAAAATGAAAAAAACTAAAACAAAACTTAAAACACTTTCAATGAGAGGTTATTTTAAAAAAGTAAGAAAAAAGTAAGAGAAATATTGAGATATGTTTTTCAAAAAAAAAAAATCTTTATATATGTTTCTATACACTTGGCATCTTATTAATGGTTTAATTATTATTTTTAAAATTAAAATTTAATTAAATATTTAGTAATTATTTATGATTGAGATACCATTTTGGGTATCTATACCCATGAAGCTGCTCTCATATTGTACTAACATTAAGAAAAGAGGAAAACAAAAAACAAAAAACATCCTGCTGCAAGAACGTACAGTGTTTGTTTATAGATTAACTATCTAACATTTCTCTCAAAAACAAGTATAGAACCAAACTATTTATATATTAGCTAATGTACAACAGTTCATATCTCCCCTTTAATCCCAAAATTTCCACATTCTCTTTAGTAAAAAAAAAAAAAGTTCAGCGGAACAGATCTTGGAATGACCACATTATGAATCTTGCAAAGATATCAGACTCCAAGAACTCGATGTGAGCAGCACGTCCGATGAATGAGTTCAGGTTACGTCCATAGACAGTCATGTCGAAGTTGACATCGCACCGCATGAACACTCTTTGCTGATGTGGCGCTTCCGGGGCCGGTCCACGTATTTGGTCCATACAGTTATTTAGCATTTCCAAGAATGCGATTCCGCGTTTTGTGCTGTCGAATGTCGCTGGTTGGCACGATTCGATCCTTGCTGAGTGATATGGGACATAACCATCCTGCATTATACAACAAGAGTCGCGTGATGTTTCTGACCTTTAACAAAATAAAAAACAAAATAAAAATGTTTCTGAGGTTTATTATTTATGATTGGGCAAAATTTCCAAACCGAACCCAAAATTTATTAACCCGAACTGAAATTCTCAAACCTGACCGGAAACGAATTATAAAATAACCCGAATGAAAAAGAAGTTTATAAGCCTAGTTACCAGATCCCGATTAACCAAATTCATTACAAAAATTAATCTTATTACAGTAAATCCACTAAAATTTAATAATATTAAAAATTTCAAACTTTTATTAATTTATAGAATTATTAATTAATCGATAGTTAATTTATCAATTTATAAAGATATTTTATTGTTCAAATGTTTAAAGTTCTTTAAACAATCAAAAAGTTGTTTTGAACACTATATAGTTTATTCAGAAAAAATCATACCAATAAATTTTAAAGATAAATCGAACAGCATTTATAAACTTGAAACAGCAATATAGTCATAGTACATTATTTATATATGCATAAATATATAACTATTAATTTATATAATTATTAAGACCATATTTTTATAAAATGGTTTTTAAAAAAATATTATCTTATTATTTTATCGAAATTTGCTAATTTTTATACTGACCTAACTTGAAATCAGCAAAAAGTATTAATTTATAGTGATTATCAATTTATAGAAACTCTACTGTAGTTAACCTCTACAAATTAATAACCTTGGGACTGTGAAAATAAATAAAAAATTATTAATATATAGTAATTATTAATTTATAGTTATATTATTTGGTTGAACTAATTTTAAAACTGATAAAAAATATTAATTTATCGAAATATTATTAAATCAAATATTAATTTGTAGAGGTTTTAGTAGAAAAAATATATCAAAATATATCAAAATTCTACAATTTTTAATATTTTTGTTTTTTTTTTTGATGATTTGCTCTATAATTTGTTAGTATAATTTTTTCTAAAACCAAATCAAACCAAAATATTCATACAATCAACTTTAAACCGGTAGGCATACCTGAGGTGAGGACAAGAGAATTATATTTTTGAAATTTTCCAATGTCTTTTGCTGCAAAGAATTTAAACCGGATATTAGAACCGAACACCAAAATCATTTCTGCAAAAAAGTTAAGATCTTTCTCTCTACCTTGCAGAGTTTGTAAAAGAAAGTATGTCGAAGATCAGGATCATCAGTGAGTGTAAGCTGATGAATAACCTGTGTACTCTTTAACTTCTTCAAGAGCCAAAGACCAGAGTTAAACAAAGAGTTTGTACTGTACAGATAACCCAAGTGAGGACCCGAAAGCGACAGATATGTATGTAGATACTTCCTGTATGGTTCCATTAAACTATCTGGAAAAACAGCAAAAAAACAAACACAAAGATCAGCACTAAAACGCAAACTCATTTCCAAAATTTAAGAGATTTCTTAGAACATTTACCGGCGATAGCTGTTCTGATGATGACATTACCAATGGAATGCCCAACAAAACTCAGCTTGATGCATTTCAAATGTCCGTGTCTTGCATATTTATCTTTCTTCCTCTTGAGGAAAGAAACAACTTCTTGTGCTAGCCTTTGTCCCATTTCTCTGAAATCTCCATGAGTTTTCTCCTCATTTGCCTCTGACATGAGAAACTCTATCTTCGGATCTATCATAAGCCATTGATTACGAACAAGCCTTAAGTCCAAGTGATGCCCCTATGGTAAGCAAATATGAACAAAAATTCTAATCAAATATGTCAACAAAAAGATAGAAAAACGAAAAGGTCTACCTAAGAAAGATTGCTACTTGCCTGGAAACCATGAACAAACACAACGATCTTTAGCTCACGGGCACTTTGCTTGGAGTTGGTAGCTTTTGTTTCTTCTGTTTCGTCATTAAGCAAGCTAGTCTCGAGCAAATCCACATGTCTCAAGTAAGAATTATCACTTAAAGTTCGTCTTGGTGCATTCAAGACACGTTCAACTATAATTATAGGAACCCTCATAGGATCTCCAAGTATATGCATATCTTGTATTGAACGGTTGTTCATCTGCAATGACACATTATAATCAACAGCTAATGAAGCCAAAGAGGGAAACTAAATCAAGAACAGAGAACAAGAACAAACCCGCATCTGCGCTATACTTCGACGGTGAAGTTCAGCACGGTTAGCTGCAAGTTGAGCAGGCTGCATCAGAGCAAAAATCAGATGAGCCATTGCCTTTTCACAAAATTTGGTAAAACAGAAACAGAAGACTAAACTCACATCAGTCAACTTCAACACGCTTGAGACTCTTTTGTGTGCACTGTGGTTTATGATATCACTCATTCCACTGTTTATAAAATGATGAGGCATTTCAACCTTAGAGTACACCATCCATATTGACCATTCAGCTCTCCGATCTTTAGTCCAGATATCACGAAGGTATTCAAGTATTTTCGTGTTGTTATCCCTGTAAAGGACACATGAGATACCTAGAATGTTAATCTTTCCAGATTTCTTTCGAGAGATAGCTTAGAAAACGATCTTACCGGTGAAATCCAAGAAACGTGTTCCAAATATAATGAAGCTGTGTGCCTAGTAAGTGGAATAGACGAGATAGATGATCCTTTGACAGTTCATGAAGCCAGTCATCACTTGCTAAATCAAATGTGATATTCAACTTCTGTGCCAAGAAAATGAAGAAATAAGCAGAAGAAGATGAGACAAATATCATCGATAAAAACCAGTTCAGAATCAAAACAAAGCTAAGGACCTCAAGACTGTTTTGTTCCTTGCCTTGTCCTGAACCTGAGTGAGATAACGGAACATTGTTCATATTTGATACAAAGTCAGACAAATCAATCGATTGATCAACTGCTTCGCTAAGTCTTTTCATTTCCTCGAGTAAAATCTCGCGAGCTTTGAGTAATGCTTTAACAAACGAGACCATTTTCTTGTCAGCAGAAGCAAGCAGACCAAGTGCCTAGTGAATAAATAAGTAGATAACCAAATCAATAAGAAGTTTTTTGAAATCTAGACAAAAGCAAAAAGATTGAACATTACTGAATCATAAGCACATACTTTCTTGAAAGATTGAACATTCCCTCCACTGACATGTTTACTGTTACTTACGCCACTGCATCAAAAAAAACCCTGAGATATCAACTAAGCATAGATATATGAACCTTAAGAAGACAACATAGTAGATTATGTCGAATCTGACAAACCTTGATAGACTTGCAGGTCGTCTGTAAGCAGCAGATTTCAATACACTGATGTGGACACTCACATCGACAAGAACAGCATGAAGCGTATCAAAATGCACTGGACAGTATGAATGCAAGCCTGTAAGAGCTTTAGGCGGAATACGAAACTCATGAACTGCAGAAGGTAAAGCATCTAAATGCCTCATTGATGAATTATCCATAGCAGGAGCATACATGAGCTCAAATTTCAATATAGCAGCAGATGTGGCTGAACCCTGCATACACATAATCATTTTCACAACTTCATAAATGAAAAAAACATAACTCTTGAATTTGTTAGAATGCATAATAAGTAGAGATTGTTACCTCATATCGTGGCAGTGGCAAAGTAAATGAGATCATCATACAAAGACGAATATCCTGCCTTGCATATTTGATTCGGAAGGGCTGTGTTGAGAAACTATTATCTTTATCATCTATCCTCCACACTCCATTAGACCCGGATTCTGGAGCTTTAAGCAAAACAAAAAACAAATCTCTCTGTTCTAAGTATACTCAAAACAGATCCTCACAGCACACAGAACAAGAATAATAACACTATTATCTGATTTTCAGGAAACAATATGAACAGAGACGAACTTATTCATAAGAAAGCTATATACATAGTACCTTCATACTGAACAACTCGTGAAGGAATACCACGAGTTACGTTATCACCATCCTCCCATCTCATTGTAATCTTCATTTGATACCATCTAAGGAATTCGAGGTATGATTCAAAAACTCAGTTGAAGTAGAAGTTTTAAATTCTAATCAGAGAGAGAAAAAAACAAGAAGATCCAAACATACCCTTGCTGAAAAAGATCAAGGTTATGAAACCTGTGGATATAAATGGCAATCTCTTGAACCGTGTCAACCATTAGTACTGGCTTAACTCTTGCTATGTAAGGTTTCGCATCAAGGGCCTTTGCTTGTCTACTTCTTCTGCTCAATCCAAATAACCATCCAAGACGGCGTAACATATGTGAAAGAAGAAACTCACATCACTTTCTAAAATCTTTTGAATGTGTGTTTTGAAATCCAGAATGATTGATTTAATCAGCTCTTTTCAAGTCTTATTTTATAACTCAATGTGAAATTACAACAGCAACAAGCACCTGAACAAAAAAGGGTTATTTGAATTAAATGTAATCGTTTACATATATTGTAAACAGATTATGCAAGCAAAGTAACCATTAGATCATCAACTTCATAAATTTTCAGCTTTTTTAGCAAAATTAGTACTCTAAATAACGAATTTGGGAACTTTTCGTGTCAATTCTAATACCAAGATTAGGTCTTTATTGGGTTTATCTATTCATCTAAGCTGATTAATTTCAAGGAACCAAAATACCAAATCGGTGCAAGAACATTTCTTTAAATCTATAAAAATGGAGACAAATAAACCCATTTTTCAGAGTAATTAACCCGAATGAAAAGCTTCGATTTTATGGAATCTTACGGATTGATAACGAAATGCAAATACATCAATCGCAGAGCAGAACAGAACAGAACCTGTAGGTTTCAGATCAAGATCTGACGAAAACCCAGATTGTTTCAGCTTCTGGGAAAAAGAACAATGGGACAAGCACTTCAGATAAACAATGTGAAAGAGGAAGAAAAAAACAGAGGGAAAAAGGATCTGGGAAAACTACAAATGATTAAAGTTTTGTTCGAGCAATTTGAGGATTTTAATTATTTTTCTATAAAAAAGAAAAACTTTAATTAGTCAGATTTTTTGATTAAATTTGTCGGGTAAGTACGGGTAAGGATGAATGTTCATACGAGCGAAGCGACCATCTCGATCCACGCTGTGTTGTTTTCTCGATTCGTACTGTAAGATTTAATTTGACCCGCCAAAATTCGGATAACCTGACCACTTAGTTTTGGGCTTTCTTAATGGCCCACTAACTTATACCCAAACCATATGGTTAGCCCACTAACTTATACCCAAACTATATTGTCAATTTGTGAGACCTTAATTTATATAGTCTATTAGTGTATAAGGTAGTGGGCTGACCATATGATTTGGGTATAAATTAGTGGGCCATTAAGAGCACTTTTTATATTTTTTATAATATATAATAACAGCTTCTATTTTTTATTTGTTTCGAGCCCCTACAATTTTAGAGCGAACCGTGGAAATGAGTATTCTTATTATATGATACGAAAAATATACATATATGATATAACATATCAAAGTTTCAACATTTACACAATCTCTTGAAAACTGAAGAAACCCACGTGTTAGAATTTTAAAGGTTTTACATTTGTATATCGTTTTGTCAAGTCGATAACTCTTCGTTTGATACTGGCATATTTCCACGGCATCTTCAAAGGCCCAAAGATTAGATGTACCCCGATGTGCAATAAAACGAAAAATTCCGTTTTATCCTAAAAAAATATATATTACAAAGAATGTGTAGTAGTATATGAACTAAATTTGTATATGGACCATTTTAGATTCCTTTACAATTGTAGGCTAACGCATTAAACCATTGAAGAACAAAGTTGTTAGATAGAGACACGTCTTTTTGTAAAGCTAAATGGAGAAGATCATTAGCATCACGAGTGGCATCTTCATTTGTTTCTATAGTTTAGTTTAGCAATATAAAGTCTTAATGTTCTTTTCAAACGCAGATTCTAATATTCCATTTGGATGATTTCCTGATTGTTTTCATTTTGTTAAAAAGTAGATAAAAATGTATATTAGATAAGGATGTGCATTTGGCCCATACGACTATATTTTGTTTTTCTTGTCTATACTCCGGAGTTTAAACTATAGGAATATTGGCTTTGCATTCATAGGAAGTAGAGTCTTCCATTATGGTACATCAAACTTCTAATTACAACTTAAAATCCCGCATATTACTTAATTTATTTTTCATCATGAGATATCTTGGTTTGCATTTCGTACATTATATTGATGTCCAACAAATTCGATACACCTGTAAAATCATGATTATTGTTTAACCATAAAGACATGTATGTTACTATGTTGGTTTAGAGAAAAAGATCAGTGTATGTTTTTTCTGCAACAAAAGAAGTTGTACTTGTTATGAAAAGAAAGGAGTCAGGCGCTCTAATTCTCTCTCTGGTATAATCTTTAGAATTTAGTATTTTTTCCTGTTTCACTATAAATGTGCATACAAGTTTTTCAGACATTAAAAAAGTAAGTGAATTATTTAATTTTATCTAAATAATTAATATATTAAAATAGTAAGAATAAAATTGGAAAAGAAATTCAAATATCTGCATTGACGACAGTTATTATGAAAAAGTTTATGTTTTAGAACAATTAAAATTTATGTAACAAGTTACATATATGGTTTAGAGTTCTTTTTTATAAAATGTTTAGAGTATCTTGAGGTAGAAATACGATGCCTAGTTCTGGTTTGGGTATAAGTTAGTGGGCAAACAAATTCACAACTGTTAGGTGCAACTTCAGAAAACTGGATATGTTAATTAAAAAAAAAAAAAAAAACCTTCGGAAAACTGGATCTCCTATTTTACTAGTAAGATACTCTAAATTTATATTTATATCTACATTTATTTTCTTGTTGTAATCAGAGTCATACAAAAAAATTTGCCTAATTTATTAGGACGAGGATTCATGTTGGACTAATAGCGATAGTTATTTACTCCTCTATAGTATTTATTTTGAATGATTTTCCCTTCAAAATTTTTATTTTGTTACTTTGAAATTTTGAGATATATTTTACTATTATCAAATAAATATAAATCTTGATCTTGTATCCAGTAATCATCTAATTAAGAGTACTGTATTTTTTGAAAAGGATTTGCAATTTAAATAACATTATGAATCGAATTCATACAGTTTTTTTTAAAAATATATCACTGAGAAAGTTAACAAGATTAACCATATTTTCCATTATGACTATTACGACCACGTTTTACTTACCGCTGTCCATTCTTTTTTTTTGCAAATCTTGTGAAGGTTTGATAGTTTATTCTCCCTGGATTCTCATAATATATGCGTTTACAGAATCCTCATCTAGTATAACCTTTATTAAGTTCGATAACTTAACAGATGAAAAGCAAATCAGTAAGCTAGTTTTCTAGGAATTTAGAAAAAAAAATGATCCAAAACCATCTTAAACACATAAATTTGGATCCGAATCTATTTAGCATCTCTCTATGAAGTAGAAGTTACAAGATTGGTAGCTGATTAATAAAATATCTAAATTTTTAATTAAAATATTGTGATCAATTTTCCGTAAACTAATTCCAAGCTTTCACATGAACAAGAAGATTTATTTAATAAGAACTCTATCGAATTTTTTTTGATAAGTAATAGGCGGGAGTAAACACTCTAATTCATCGCACCAATTCAGTAGAGAAGTAGATAAAAAACTTCCTAAGAAATGGTCTGCTGGGCAAAACATGTAGAGCCAATAAAAAGTCGGATCATAGCAATATAAATAAGATTTCACCATTCATAAGAGAGGAGGTGAATCGATTGGTCAAGGGGATAAATAGTCATGTTTAGAGAAACCACATTGATAATAGAAGAAGATCATCTGATAAACCCTAAAAAACTACGTCGGGCCTTAATCCCTTCGGTCAAAATGTTTCCAAATAGATCGTAGTCGTTTCTGGACACTTCAACCCGTCCAGAGAATGTGCCATGAAAGATAAATTTATTTTTCTTTTTTATTTTATTAATTGTGAGAGAGTTTCAACTCTCCCCTCTCATGATATTGTTCAACCAGATCATCATTAAGCACCAAACGATATTATGATTTTCAACTCCCTTCTTTCGTGATATCGTTCAACCATTTCGATCATCATTGAGCATCAAACGGATATTATGATTTTTGAATGTAGTATTCAATCTTAAACCTACTTAAAATCTATCATGTTGAATATTTGTTTTTATTAACATATTTCTAACTTGAATGTCTGAGAATTGTTACGAGAAAAACTCATTTCTTATTATTTCGGAATCGATTAATTGTTTATCTAGTTGATCCTAAATTTTAATAAACTAATTTATTAGATTATATCGATATTATTTATTTTCTAATAAACAAACACATTATATAGAATTCATCCATATGATGAATATACATTTTTTATAAATATTTTATGCAGTAGATTTTCTATAAATAAATATTTAATTTATTAATATATTAATAAATTAATATTTTTATCAATCTTAAAATTAGTTTATCAATTAAACAATATATTTATAAATTAATAATTTTTTATTAAATTTCAAAGTTCTAACTACTTCTAACACTATTAATTTGAAAAGGTTTTACTGTAAAATATTTCCAAACCATATATCTAATGCAAAACAGGGAAATTTCTAGAAAATGTTTTTGTTTTTCACTAGGCAATGTTTTTTTGTAAAAGAGTTATAAACTATAAATACGCCATTAAATTGAAACTCTCTCACAATTAGGTTGTTGTCGTCTTATTGAGTAAAAATTCGGCTGTAGTACACACAACAACGGGACTATGTGAGTCAGCCTTTCTTTCTGTCTGCTTCCGGCAATTAAGTGGCACACCCTGAGCGACAACTTTTTTTATAATCCATAAATCCAAAAACAAAACCGACTAAAAACTTATTCCCAAGATAACTGAAAATTAGGCAAGACCCACCCACACTCCACGGGATGACAAGTTATTAAATTGATTAATTATACTACTTTTTAGTATATAATTTATCGAAGGTATTAAGAAAATTATTATCAAGAATCCATTGTTTATACCAAAACATACAATGACTTTGATCAAATTAAAACATTTTATATTATTATATTATTATAATCTTTTTAATCAAATTAATATATTTTATTATTTAAATTTTCTAAGTTAACATATTTAGTTTATCAATTTGTTTATGATAATTTTGTTGTCTATTGTTTGGGAGCAAATTTCGGGATGCCACATAGAGGGATTTGATTGGTCGTCGAGTATTATGGGGAAAATTTGAACTCTGGAGGATGGGCTAGCCTGCAATGTCACGGAAAAAAAAAGAGAACTCAGATAATAGGAAAGAGGTTGCCCTTCCGATTACGCTCTGACGCTCTAATCAAAAGAAAAGATACAGGACTGGACAGAACGAGTTTATCTTTATCGAAAGGACAAGATATGAAGCTCTATATCGATTCGTAGGGATCCCGATGAAGATTTTGGAGTTGTGATAAGATATCGAGAATGAAGCTAGAAGATGAAGTGATCGTCCTAGATGTCTCCTCCTCTCGGCTGTTGAGGGGAGTGGATTTTTATTGGAGATACTTGGTTCCGGGTTGCTCCCGGATTCGGATTTCCAGGCTCCCCGGGTCGAGTACTAACTTCCGTCTTTTTTCATCATTATACCCATTCCTGAACTCTTCCTTGTGTGTGGCCAGAGGAATGGGTTGCCGATCTGCTCCGCCCTATCCTAACCGCCATCATTACGGCCCTCTTTGGTAGGTGCGGTGCATCTAATGCGCATCGGGTTCCCGCGGCGTCCGTTGCCCATGCGTTGGGTCCTTGTCGGCCGTGTGTGAGTTTTGCGGCCCAACAGTTACCCCCGACTTGTGGAGCTCACTTAAGGAGATTCACAAGTATGTCCTGCACATGGGTCGAAATACCCAGGGTCATTATGCTTTTATTCCGCCGGTTTCCCAGCCACAGGTGGGGAGATCGCTATCTCTGGAGGGAGTTCCCTGGAGGGCGTGTCCCTGGAGGCCGGTCTCGGAAGGACCGTTATCCCCGGAGGGAGTTCCCTAGAGAGCGTGCCCCTGGAGGCCGGTCTCAAAAAGACTGTTATCCCCAGAAGGAGTTTCCCGGA